GGGCTCAGGGAGGTAACGGGCAATACAGAGAGTGGATACTGCCCAGCTGCTGTCACCGCAGGCCCCGCCACCCTGGGCTCCCATGTTCCAGTCACTAACAGCAGCACTGGCCCTGGTCTGGCTCTCAAGGACTGACCCAAGCTGCAGGCCCATTTCTTGAAGCATTTGCATTATAAATGTATGTTTCTCTGGGCAGGTGGAGAGGCCAAGCCCCACCAAGGCTGATCTCTGTCCTGATGGATCTCTGAGCCCAGAAGACTAAAGGTCAAGGTCAAGCTGAAGGAAGGTAGGCCACTCAGGGCCAGGCACACTACAGTCACTAGGGGATCCTGACCCAGCCCCAAAGCTTCAACATGATTTGCCACTTCTGCCTTTTTTGGTGGACAGGAAGCCTGTGACACTTTAAAAGAGGAAATTAGGTTGAGAAGTTCAAATAGTTATGTTCTTTGTTCCTCTCCCATCACTCCTACTTTTCAAATGAGTCCTGATGGCCAGCTGTGGAACCACAGCCCAGGTGACTCCAGAGCTCCCAGATAGGAACCGAAGGGATGCTGGCACTCGTGTTAATAGCGCTTGTGCTCGAGAGGTCAGAGCAGGTGAGAGAAACACCGGATGCGTGATGTTCAGAAAATAGTAGCAGGATGAAGAGGAAAAAGACATATATAAACAAGAGACACAAGGAGCCAGAAATGAGGGCAAAAATAAAGAAGCTGGAGTAACCAGCCCTTGGCACAGGGCCACAGAGGGTGGAGCCTGAAGCAACAGGCACAGTTTTGGGGAACAGAAGCCGGCCACATATCAGGGTTGCCAAGTCCTTAGGGCTCCCAAAGATGGGGGAGCCCAGAATTACAGATACTGGTTTGATGTAGGTAACAAGTAAAATTCTAGAATATCCACTGTATTGTAGGCGATTTAGCAAAACTGCTGGCATTTTTGCTTTTTACAACTGAAACTGTCTTTAAGTGATTGAAAGATACTTTTGTCTCATTTGGCAAAGCCATCTGCTTTCAGCATTCCTACTCTCCCCTTCTTTCCACCAAAACTCCCTCAAATCTGAAGTGGGCACATAACTGCTCAAAAAGAAACTCATTTCCCAGGGGCTAGAGGTGATATGTATGTATGAGTGTATATATGATTTTTGTGGTACTGGGAATCAATCTCTGGACCTTGCGCTTGCGAGGCAGGCACTGAAGGCTGTAGAGCTGTCTCCCCAGCCCTGGAGGTGGTCTTTAGACCAAGATGGAGGCCAAGATGCTGTACAGCCTGGGGTGTGACCTCAGAGAGGAGACCTTTGCCCCTGCCTCGCTGTCCCCACTGGGGAACCAGACATGATGGCAGGCCATGGAAGAGGCCCTGGGGGCACTGAGAGCACAGCTGTCTCACCTTCCAGGGGGCAGAGGGGACACATTTGAAGAAAGACAGGGTCACGCTGTTCCCATACAGAAATAGAGAGCAAATAAGACAGCAAAACTGTCCTGAGTGCTCTGTCTCAGTACCTGTGCAAATACATGAGCCTTGCACATAGATATGAACTGGGTGTGTGTGTGTGTATGTGTGTGTGTGTGTGTGTGTGTGGTGTGGTGTGTGGTGTGTGCCTGAGTACTGGAATTTGTAACTTTGAGAAAACTCACAAATAAAATTCATGGCCCAGAAACATTGAAAATAAATGTATAAACATATGTATTTATATTTACTACTATAAAATACACGTTATAAAGGTAAGTTATCAAAACCTCCACACACATAGTACATATGACATCACTCATAGTACATATGACATCACTTGATATACCAAAAGGTATCGATGTAGTATTAAATCACAGCTGCAAAAAACCAGTGGTTGTAACACTGTCACAACTCTGCTGCCATCTCCTGTTGCCACTGGGAGGCTCCCATGTTGAATTTGCCTAAAATGCCCTGTGACCTTGGTCTCTAAGGTATCTCTCCAGGAAATGGTGTACTGTAAAAAGTGACCTCTTGGGGCCGGGGAGATAGCTCAGTAGAATAAGTGCTTGCCTGGCAAGTGTAAGAGCATGAGTTCAATTCCTGGTTCTGGAAAAAAAAAAAAAAAGTGACCTCTTACAGTCCTTGCAGATTTTCACCATAGTGATACATATGACATGCAAAACCCATGTTCATCAGCTCTGCTATCCATGGGGCTTCTGGCCAACAGCAGGCTATTAAGTTTTAGGGGAATCAAGTTACATGTGGGTTTTGAACTGCATCAGAGCCAGTGCCCCTAACCCTTGAGTTGTTCAATGTCAACTGTACCAATATTAATTTTCTCAGCAACGCTACCAGGTAAACACTCCTTTTACAAATGATAAAAAGACATAGGTCCACCACCTTGTGCAAGGTCAGCTCTCAGCTCCTGCTTCCTAGCCTGGACTTCCAACCACTTCCCCAACAATACACATTTGGGTCTTGGAACTTTTAAAACACAGCATGCTCTGGTCCTGCCCCTTGAGATCCAGGGGGATGTGAGGAGCAAGCAGGAGCAGGAGGAGCACAGAGGCACCTCATTCTTACTGCACCGTGGTTTCTATTCCTTGGGGTGAACACAATCCTAATTCCCATTAACTTTGTGAGATTTTTTTTTTCCCTGTATTTAGAGTAGGGGGCCTGCCAAATAGCTCAGTGGATTAAAGCCCCTGCAAGCAGGCGTAGGGGCTGGGTTCGATCCCTGAGCTGCCATGCCGGCCCTGCCCCTGGGGCACACTGAGACAGTGACTGAGACTGGGCGTGGTACCCCCCACACCTGTAATCCAGCCTTGGGAGGCTGTAACAGGCAGATCACTATAAATCCAATCTAGTAGTGAGACCCTGAACACCCTGTAGACCCTTCCCTAAAATACAAAAAATATATTTAGGGCAGGGTCTTTAGGGTCTTACTATATAGATCGGACTCAGTGATCCTCTTGTTTTCAGCCACCCAAGCACTGGGATTACAGGCACAAGCCACTATGCCCAGTCTCAATCACTGTCCCAGAGTGCCCTGGGGGGGTGGGGCCGGCATGGCACACTGGGAATCAAACCCTGGCCACTGTGCTCTGCCTAAGCAGGAGCTTTAGTTTGCTGAGCTATCAAGCCAGCCCTTCCCATCAACTTTTTTTTTTTTATTTTTGGCAAAACCAGAGATTGAACTCAGGCCCTTGCGATTGCCAGGCAAGTGCTTATTCTACTGAGCCATCTCCCCAGCTCTCCCATCAACTTTGGAAACACCCAAATAGCACTACTGTTAAATGTTCACCCTCTCTAAGTGTGGTTAGGCTCTTTGGAAGTAGTTGTTGTGGACAGCTGTGGCCACAGTCATCTGTGAAGTAATTCAGTGATTCAGGCATAACTGCAGTCCAAGGTTGTTCAATGCTGTCATGGAGACAGTTTTAGATTTAGACCACTGCATCCATACACCACATTGGAGGCTTTCATTAGAAAATCATAGTTTTCATTAGAAATCATAGCTCTCGGGCTGGGGAGATAGCTCAGCTGTCTAAGAACCTGACTGGCAAGCACAAGGACCCAATTTCAATCCCCAGTACCACAGGCCACCCCCGACCAACAAAACCAGGTACGGTGGCACACACTTATAATCCCAGCACTGGAGAGGCTGAGACAGAAGGATCACAAGTCTGAGCTGTATAAAGAGACCTTGTACCAAATAAATTTTTTTTAGAAATCATAGCTCTCCAATCTTATGAAGAGCAGTTACATTCTGAGAATTTTCAGACTTCTACGTCCTACAGAGACTGATCATTTTGAAATTAAAATATTTTTAAGCCAGGGACATAGCTCAGTGGCACAAGTACTTGTCTGGCAAATGCAAGGTCCTGAGTTCAAACCCTGGTACCAAGAAAATATTTTTAGAAAATGTCACTTCAAGATACCCCTGCGTATCCTCCCATCCCCTTCTGTAACACCGTATGCACCAAAGCGTGTACATCCCGAACTTCTTAGGAGAACAACACTGGTATCTGAGCTCCTCACAGCCGCAGGCCTGAGATGCCCACGCAGGAGGCAAAGCTTCAGCGCCTGGCCCGCCAGAGCGGCGTGAGCCACACGACATTCAGTGGCTCACCCAAGCTGCCATACAAGTTGCCTGCTCCAGGGGACTGAATCCAGTCCTGTGTTCCTGAGAAAGCAATTTGCTTTAATCTACACTGCAGGTGTCTTCAGAGGTCAAAGCCAGGTCAGCATCCTGGCTCATGTCACTGCCTTTGAGCAACAAAATTACTTAATCTCGGTTTCCACTTCCTCACCTACACAAGACTGGCTACACCCACAGAGCCAGTGTGGTGATGTGGGCCTGAGGATCACCAGGCAGGGCTACACAGTGAGTTCAAAGCCAAGCTGGAATACACAGTGAGGTTCCATTTCAAAAAACTGCAAAGTATGAAGCAGAGTGTGGCACACTAAGTGCTCAGAAAGGATACCTATTGGCTGATTTGAGCTTAACGTAAAACGAAGGGAATTTGCGCATCTAAGAGACTTCAGCTTGTGTATTTCTGTCTGATCAGTCAACAAACATGTTCACCCAGGTGGTACATACAGCTAGCTCAGAGAGATGCCGCTGGTCCAAGACAGACCCAGGCTTTGGGATTTGGGAGTTCATGAAGCTCTCAGATGCGGCCAAGGTGCTCCAGCTCAAGGATGGGCAGTGCTGCCGATACTTCCTAAGCTGCACAGTGCAAACCACACGACACATCCAGGATTATGGAAAAAGTGCTTGGTGACACACAAAGACAGTGGTGGTTCTCATATGTGAACTAACACATGAAATACAAGGATCACAGACATCACCTGGGCAAAGCCAATCCACAGAGGACACGTGTGAGCCAGTAGATGAAGATGCAGAATGGGGCCAAGTGCTCATTTGGACAGGATGCACAGCATAGAGAAGGTGGCTGGTGCCAGCCTGGCCACCCCCATGCCCACTCCCCAGCACCCTCTACATCTGTGATCAGCAGGATTCCCCCACCATGAATCCGAAGACACTCTTTTGTACCAATCATTATATATTTATTCACACGTTTGATAAAAATGTTACTGTTGAGAGTGAAATCATTACAATGACAGAAGTAACTGTACACAATCAAAACGACTGTGAGACCAGGGCAAGTACAACTGCCGAGCACCCGTGCACACACAGACATATCCTTGGGCACACACCCCCGCTCACCACCACAGGTGGATACAGGGACTCTTTCCTGCTTCTGTGAGGTCCTGGGGAAGACAGGCCACCTCGTGGCAGGTCTGCTGTGCTGTACACGGACAGGGCTCCAACACTGGGACAGCAATTAGTCCTTGGCACAAAACTGAACAGGCAACGAGGTCAAGGAGGGGCTTAAATTAGTCTCTGGTTTAGATTCCTTTCTCAACACAATAAAGTAGCAAGCAGAAAAAAAGTGGAATTCGGCCATTTAAACTCCAGAACAGAGGATTTAAAACTTGATCCCTATCCTCCCAAGAGATCGCAACACGAGCACAAACAAAACCATTGAGGCCAAGCCAATACCACCTGGGAGTGACCGTATCCTGCCTTTACTTTAGCTCTGGGGAGAGGAAACACTTTGTAGAGCAATGAGGGGGTCGCATATGCCACATTCGCACTCCATCAGCATCTGGCCACAGAGCCAGCCTTCAGCTCCAAGTGTTCCGGTGGCAGTCGAGCCTCACTATTCTGTTGTTAGCCTTCCAAGGAAGATTAGACAACCCAAAGTAGGGAAAATAATACCTGAATCAAACTTTTCAGAACAGTGACTCAGGAAAAATCTCACTCCTTTTGGACACCAACATTTAAAAAATTAAATTGGATTTAAATGTGAGGCTCTAATGAGCATTCCCACTGGCCCTGTCACCATCGTTGACACAGAAGCCGCTGTCCGGGAGGGTGCAACTCCAGTGTTCCTGGCAGATGGCTCAAGTGAGGAAGGAAGCAATGACCCAGAACAGGAATCATTGCCAAGCAGTGCAGCAACACCCCTGGCTGGTTCAAGAGAACTTTGGGGTCCAGTCAAGTAGGTGGGACGTACTTTACTGGAGAATGTCTTGGTACAAACTTCATGTCCCTCAAGATAAAAGTGAGGTAAGGACAAGGCACTTGGCACGGCCACGTATCATTCACACCATTCGCACCAGGACTGTTACCAAGAGCACTGCCCATGAATCCTGCTGAGCAGCAAACCACTAGCCACCCTCTCAAGGTGACCACAGGGCTGGAGGAGGCCCAAGCGCTGCACGGCCGATAGCAGAGCTTGGAATGTCAGCGAGGGGCTCCTCAGGAGGCAAATGATCGTCCCCCTCAGCAGCCTGAGAAGCAAGGGCTGCTGAGCTCAGTGGGACACTGAATTTCAGGATGGTTGACTGAGAACAGGACAAGGCCTCCTCGGAATCCACCCTCTCTCCAACAGAGCACAGCAAGGCTCCAAATGATACCAGAAGTAGTCAGGAGACCGGTCCTGCACTGTCTTTCCAGCAGATGCCTTCCAACACTCGTGGCTCGTCTCCGTGCTGCAGATGTGGTAAGTATCCAAAACAGGCCTGGGAGTACCTTTCGCTTCTCAAGCCAGAACCCTTCAAGCATACTCAATGCGGGCCGGGCCACAGCTGCCTTCGTTCTTTCGCTCGGAGGCCTGCGCAGAGGGCTTGGCTTCGCTGCTCACTTCCAGAGGCTTTGCTGAGATGTAGTCCTTTACTTTGATCTCCATGTTCTTAGCCTTCAGGGTCGCAGTGTGCAGCTTCTCCAGGAAATCTGGCATGCCTAGGACAGACACCGAAATTCAGTTAGGCTGCTGTACAGAGGCTCAAAACTTGAAGGCCCCATCCCATGGGGCCAACTCCTCCTCACAGGGATGACAAAAGCCTGAATAACAGTATGCAAGTGACAGCTACTGCACAGAAAGTGCCTACTGTGTGCGGGTTATAAAAACCAAGGGAGGTGGGAGAGGAGGTAAAAGGGACATAGAAAGAATCGAGACATGTTGTATACTTGGACTAACTTCTCATAATGAATGTAATAGTTAGGTGGTGTCCTGTATTACCTTTTTTTTTTTTTTTTTTTTTAATTTCTAAAAACCACCTATGACCTCTGATCCCTTGAAAAGAGGAACTGTGATAAGGCCACTTAAACCCCTAAATGGTTTTATTTATTTATTTATTTATTTATTTATTTATTTAATTTATTTTGGTGAATCAGGGATTGAACTCAGGCCCTTGTGCTTGCCAGGCAAGCACTTATTCTACTGAGCTATCTTCCTGGCCCTCAAATGGCTCTTTAAAGTGATAAAAATACCACTTACCAGAGGCACAGTCAAAATAGATACCCCTTTAATTTAGGCAAATGTCAAATGGAAATACCTATTCTTCTTTTCATTCCCTCCCAGTGTAGGATACCTCATATAAAAAAAAACAGGAGAAAGAAAAAATCACAGGAGAATACTTTGTAAGACAACAAGCAAGGAGGGAAGGTGAGTTATAGCCACAACACATACAAAACCCTTGAGACCAGGGGCAGCTGCTCCCTGGTGACTGCCTCAATCACATCTCCAGGCCAGATGTTATAGTTTTCAACATCACTGGGAAAACGTGTGTATGTGTGTGCACGCACGCATGTGCGGGGGGGGGGGGGGGGTATGAGAGACTGAACCAAGGGTCTTAGCTATATCCTCAGCCATTTTTGTTTTTGGTACAGGGGATCGAACTCAGGATCTTGTGCTTGCAAGGCAGGCACTTATGCCGCTGCACTATCTCCCCAGCACCCCCAGCCCTTTTGTATCTATTTTTTATTTTTAACACAGGGTCTCACTAAATTGCCCAGGCTAAGCTCAAACTAGTGATCCTACTGCTTCAGCCTTCCATTTGTTTACTCTCCCAGGAATTACAGGCCTGCGCCACTACACCCAGTCAAGAAAAGATATTGAAAACACTAATGTAACTAGTCTCTATTTAAGGCATCCCAGCAAATGCTTTTAAAACTCCTCTTCTAGGTAAAAGTTACTGCCTGGATCCCTGTAATTCTCATCCATTCAAGTCCCACCTGGAGGCTAGAGTGAACTATAGGAGATGAGTTTCCCCAAAAGGAATCTAGTAAGAAGTCAAGTATGTATCCTTGTGCTGTCACTAAGAAGATGAAGATGAAGAAGCCAGGAGTTGTGGCACACATCTATAATCCCAGAACTGGGAGGCCGAGGCAGGAGGAGCACCCTGAGCTCGAGGCCAGCCTGAACTGGAAGCAAAACCCTGTCTCAAACAGAAGATCAAGAAAAACAAAATGCTCAACCCAGGTTTTAAGCCCTGGACACGTATCGCTACTCACCACTAGAAACCATCCAACTGACACAGTAGCGCGGAAACACAGTCTGCGGATTGTCACTGTATGTCAACATGTAGTCAAAACCATTCTGAAGAAGAAAAACAGCAAAGATGAGGGCATTTAAATTAAACACACCCCTCAGACCCAACACCAAAGAATAACCTGGGGAGGGTTCTGTGCAAAAAAAAAAAGAGTTAAACATATAAAACTTGATTCTTAGTTTTATCTTCTGAAAAGGCTGAAAAAGAATAACCTAATAGCTCTCAATAACCTTAGCAGGAAAACTGTGGTACCTAAGGGTTATTTTCCACTTTAAAGAAACCAGGTGGGGTCCAGGAAGATGGCACAGTAGAATAAGCGCTTGCCTGGCAAGCGCAAGGGCCTGAGTTCAATCCCTGGTTCTGCAAAAAAATAAAGGAAGAAAGAAAGAAACCAGGAATCCCTTAAGAAAAGCTGATTTCCAAGTTTAGAGCTAAAACTATGCAAGATTATCCTGAAACATGTAATATGAGAAAGCAAGAAAGCTTTCAGTCCTGTCAGGAAGACTTGAGCCAACAGAGGCTCCCAGCAACCAAAACTAGGATCAATATGAGAATCAGTAAGAGCAACTGTCAAATACTAAAACAAATTAATCCATTACATTGAATCTGAGTTTCCAAGGATACTTTTTTTTTTTTTTTTTTGTGGTACCAGGGATTGAACTCAGAACCTTGAGCTTGCCAGGCAAGCACTTATTCCACTGAGCTATTTCCCCAGCCCCCCAAGGATACTTCCAAAACAAAAAAACAAAAGTTATCTTTGAAGATACCTAACTGAATGAATCAACTCATTTTATTTAAAATCTGGTAAACAATGGCAACAAGTTAAACATTTACTTACAGAACAGAAACAAACTAGTTGATAAGAATATTTCTCTGACAAATTTCACTTAATACTATGACCATTCACAGAAGTAGCTCAAAGGGCCGGCCAAATAGCTCAGCAGATTAAAGCACCTGCAAGCAGGCACAGAGGTCAGGGGTTCAAACACCAGGCCTGCCAAGCTGGCCCCACCCCTGGGGCATGCTGAGATGGCAACTGACATGGGGTATGGTGGCACATACCTGTAATCCTAGCACTTGGGAGGCTGTAAACAGGCAGATCACTACGAGTCCAATCTAGTAGTGAGAACCTGAATAGCCTGTAGACCCTTCCCAAAAATACAAAAAAAAAAGGGGGTTGGGGGGCTGGGAAGCACAAGGGCCTGAGTTCAATCCCCAGTTCTGCAAAAAAAAAAAAAAAAGAAGAAGAAGAAGTAGCTTAAGAGTCTGCTGGACATTGTCACAGCTGTGCTGTTGTGTGCTCACTCACTCCAGTGTGAGAGTGTACTGTACTACAACACAGCCAGGGATTTTACTGCATTTGTGCTTGGGTTTTTTTATGCTTCACGCTATGACACTATATACATGTCAAAGGTACGTTAGACTTACTTTCTTGGACTTACAAACAAATCTGACAAATGTTCTCTGGGAATGGAATTCATTTGTAAGGTGGGACATATTGTAAAGAAATTACAAGATCAACTTAGTAATTTCTAATAAAATAATCGATACCATCTTCTATATTCACAAAGAGCCAACTAGACACTGTTTAGCTCAGAATGAAGTGATTCTGTCTAAACTAACCAACCAAACTGAAGCTCTTCTATCCTCTAATCAACCTACCTACCCAAGAAGACGGGGAAAGATCACGTTAGAGGACGCATGGACTGTGAGTACAGAACTGGCAAGGCCCAGGACAAACAAGCCTATTTGTTTCACAAACACAAATGCGAAGATATTTAAAGCCTGCATGAACAATTTTCAATGCCTGCATCTCATTTATATCCTGATTCGAATAAAACAAAAAAATTCAATCCAGCAAATTTAAGCACTGACTCAGTACACTGCTCTCTTGCAGGATCAGGCCTCACTTGACCCAGCCCCCCTTAAAGTAACCAGCCTTCAAAGGCAGCCTTATTTCTTGTTTATCTACTGAAGCCAAGGGGCTTTCAAACATTTAACCACTTCCCACTGTAAACAATCCTTGTTACCCTGCAATCTAATTCATTTCCCTTTTCACCTCTCACAAATGCGCATACATATATGTAATCAAGTTTCACAAAGTATAATTACAGTTAGTTCCTATTTTATTTGTTTAAATGATCATAATGCCCTACAGTATGTCCATCTGTAACAAGTAGCAATGTGACTTGAAAAACAGAGTTCTTGGGGCTGGAGAGATGGCTCAGTGGTCTAAAGCACCTACTTGAAACAAGCTTGGCAAAGCACAGGGACCACGGTTCGATCCCCCAGCACCACATGCCAGCCCGCCCCGCCCCCTGGTGGGCTGAGCTGGCCACACACACACACACAATAAATAAATGTAATAAATTAAA